GAACCAGATCTACCGACCTTTTTGGAAGACGGCATGTGAGCACCAACTATGATGCAAACAGCATCCTCATAAGAATCCAGAGACTTGGGAACAAAGCCTCACACCACATTGACTTTTTCGCTGATAGTTCCACATCAGTCAAGAGGAGCCTGCTAAGAGTCGCAACTGACGAGCTCTACAGCCTGCGACAATGACACAGTAGTTTGTAATGCATGTAGACACAATCTGTACCTTTGTTAGTATTGAATAAGTCAGATTATATTTTTTGTTAGCAATTCAGTATTCATTAGTTTTACAAAAGTCAAATTATTATATTGTTGTCTTTTTGAAATATTTATTTGTTGTTATTGTTGCATGATCAAAAGAAAAAAAATATATATATATATTTATTGTTGTTGTAATTCTGAAAATATTTATTTGTTGTTAATGGTTTGATAAATGGTATATGGTGATGTTATATTGTTACATGTTCATAGTACACATTCTTTGCTGTTGAATTTAGACTATTATTGTATTAATTACGTTGCTGCTGTTGTTGTTAATTATTTGTAGTATTTGTATCACATCTTGCTTTGATTTTTATTGTTTTTTCTTGGTAATGTTTCAATGTAATGGGTTTCCCGTTGGAATAAATAAATAAATGAAGAGGGAGAGGATTTCAGTCGAGGCACGATTGGCTCAGCAAAGTTTGACTTGACAAAGAGTTGTTGCTTTAGCACTGTAAATATGCAGAGGGTAGTGGAAGGGACAAAATACCTAGACTTGGCTACAACAGCCATGTACCATTTACCATCCGAAGTCCTCGCCACTATCCAAGGAAAGGGGAGTCGTCATCTTCTTCGTCTCTTCTTCAAGTTTCTTGTCTGTAGAGTGATTTTTGTTTGTTGTAGGCTTTGTGCAGTAGAGTGTTAGGCTATGTAAGTTCCTTGATGTTGAAAGGTGTGTTCTTCTATTAATTCAGAGATGATGTAATATGGTCGGCTGTTTAAATTTACGGGCAAATTTACTGTTGTAGTTCAAGGATTTTAGGTAGTCTGGAAGTAGGTTAAAGAAACGTGACCCTGTATGTAGTGGAGTGTTACTGGATTTATTAAGACGGTGTTGCGGTAGGTCTGTGTCGGATCTATGTCTGGTGAAATGAGTATGTTGATTTTGGCGGAGAAGTGGTGAGGAGTTTTTTGCTAGGATAACTGTTTCGAGGATATAAGTTGAGACTATGGTGAGGATATGGTGCTTTGAAAATATGGCTTGCAGTGTTCCAAGGGGTCCTCCAGTCTCATTATTGATCTCAATGCCTCCTTATGTAAGACGAGAATTTTGTTGATGTTGTTTACTGTTACTGCTCCCCATGCGGTGATTCCGTATATAATGTGTGATGCAAAGATTGAGTGATATGCTATGAACGCCGTTTCTTCGTCGTCAGTGTTCTTACTCTTCTTAAGACATGTAGTGCGGAATTTAATTTTTCACATAGGAGTTCAATATGTTCTTGCCAACTCAGGCGTTTGTCTAAAATTATTCCAAGAATTTTTTTGGAGTTAGCTGTTGGTACTTTCAGATCTTTTCAGTTATTGTCGTCTTCCTGTCTAATTTTGTTAGACGGAGTGAAGTTTATGTGTGTTGTTTTATTTTTGTTAATCTTGCGGTCTATTGAATGACAGATTGATGTTGCGTTTTCCAGGGTTAAATTTATTATGGTGTTGTTTGAGAGGATTTATGAGGGGGATCAAGATTGTTGTGTTATCTGCGAATTGTATGCATTTTTGTTGATTTGCGAGTTGTTCTGGGAAACTGTTAATATAAAGCAGGAAGAGGAGTAGCCCCAGTATCGAGCCCTGGGGAACTCCTTTCGTGGAATGTTTTAAGGAAGAACTGGTCTTTATAATATTGTGTTGTTCTTCATTTGTTCAACTACGACAAATTGAAGTATGTCAGTTGGATAGTGTTTGAGCCAGTCTAAAGCTTTGTCCTTTATATTAAAGTAGGCCATTTAGTGAGCTTTGACATATTGACTATGTTGGACGGGTTAAAATAGTTATCAACTTTGAATTGCCTTTAAGTACAAACAAGTGTGGAATTGTTTTACTGCTCACAAAACTATACGTTGATGTCGAACTGACTTCGTTACGATTAAAATAAGATTTACGTTAATAATAGCATAGCCTATTAGATTAGCTTTGTTGATGTAGCTTGTAGTTCTTAAGTAGGTAAGACTTTTGTGTGACCCTATTTGGCCATATTCAGGTACCGTCCACGATACTAGTGACCGCGCGTGTGTGAATAATTTTGTAAACATATTTTAAACTAGAGTGTATCTTCTTACCACTAGGTAAGAAGATAACTTAAGAAGACCTCTGAAGACGCCACACAAACTAGTGAAATGCATAGGATGACACAAACATCGTACCTATTCATGAACTACAGGCTCAACAACAATGGTAATCTAATATTATTCAAGTTCTTGAAACTGGGATGGAAATGAAATAATTATTTGTGGGAGGCGAGTGTGAAAAGTCTCTCGAGTGCAGCAAAGGCACTGCGCGCTCGCGTTACACATTATATTTTTCCTACGGTTACTAAAAAACGTATAAATAATTAGTCATGTTTTAGGATAGGTTGAATCCAAGCTTTGAACAAAAAATAGAAAATGAGTTCGGTAAAATAAAGTAAATGCAGTAATTCACTACTTTGCATGTTATTATCAGTGCAAGGAAGCCTGCTTTGTCAGGTAACTGGAGGGAAATATATATAAATGTTATATTAATATAAAATTTTAAATACAACAGTATAAAAACGAAGTAGGTTCTCTCTTAATTTGACATTCACCCTTAAGTTGTGCATATTGAAAAGGCAAGGGTGCAAGTATGTTCAAGAGTGGTATTTTTAGAGGCCTATTTTATTCCCAAAAGTCAGGACACTTTCTAAGTTGGCAAGTATTTTTTTTATTTGACTGTACTTATTTTTTGACTGTACAACTCTTTTATTTACTGATTACTAGGCAGTAAATAAAAGAGTCGGTTTTTTAGCTTGATTGGCAGAGGGCAGGATTTTTTTAAGTGGCAAAAAGCCTACCGTTATTTTTTTAGTGGCCTATGTTAATCCCTAAAGTGTGGACTCTTTCTCAGTTGGTCAGATTTTTTTTATTTGACTGTAAATATTTGGAAATTATAGATGGCGTTTACATATAGCCTATACCAGCATAGGACAATTTCCAAGTCAGTAAATAAAAGGGTTGGTTTTTGAAAATATACATGGGGATGGATGGGGAATGTAAATATTTATGGGGCTGGACAGTAGTATAAGACATTTCGACATTTGTATATGAATGTATAGGCAGTGAGGAGGACTTTTAAAAAAGGAGGCTAAAAATCTCACCATGTTATTCTTATGGGGAAAAGTTCCTAGAGTGACGTATATTACCTTATTACCTTATTACCTCCTCCTTGGCTTAATACCAGCATAAGCTGGATAGGCTGCGTCAATATTTACAATTTACAAAAAATAAACTAATATTTACAGTATATACAGACTTCCATTTAGTCGGACTTTCGTATGGTCATTAGACCAAAAGAACTTAAAAAACTTAATGGCTGTGTAGATTTAGAATCCTGTGAGGTCGTCCTCAAAGAATTCCTTGAGAGAGTAATACGGCCTAGCTTTTAGCCAACACTTTAACCTTGCTTGAAACCACGAAACTGATTGTGGTTTAAATCCCTTACTGCAACCGGCAACTTATTGGTCAGTCTGAGGGCCATGACAGGGAAAGCGTCTTTTGTCCTGCTGAGCCTACAATAGGACGTCAATGTGATTTTTGCGTCTGGTGTTATGCGCATGCACCTGCTGTCTGGTGGTAAAGGTATTCACATTGGAGTGTACGTAGCTGACACATTGAAGGATGTAGTTACTGTGTATGGTGAGTATGCCCAATTCAGCGAATATAGGCTTGTAGTGCTCCTGTCGCCCGCTGCCAGTCATAATTCTCAGAGCTTTCTTCTGCTGCTTTAGGATTCTGGAGACATTAGCTGCATGACCCCATAGCTGGAGACCGTAAGTAACGTGGCTGTGGAATAAAGCGTGGTAGACCACAACTAGGTAAGCTTTATCAACTAGTCTCGTTAACTTCCTGAGAAGATGTGTTACTCTCGACAACCTCTTAGCCACGTTATCCACATGGTCTTTCCAACTCAGCTTTGGGTCAATCGTAAAGCCTAGCAGATTTACCTTGACAACGTCCTGAGCCAAGTTTGAATTAAGTGAGCACAGGATTTTTTGTGTCTTGTCTTGGTTTAGTTTTAATTTGTTTGTCTCAAACCAGTCCTTTGCTGCCCTAAACATCACTTCAGCTCTTTCTGAGGCAGTTCCTGGATTGTTACCAACAGAAATTAGGGTAGTGTCATCAGCAAACCTGAGTGCATTGCCACTTAGCTCAAGATCGTTTATGGCTATCAGAAAGAGGACAGGGCCCACAACCGATCCCTGAGGCACCCCGTGAGGAACATTGAGAGCTCGGGACTTAGCTCCAGCTATCGAGACGACCTGCTGTCGGTTCTCCAAATATGTCACAAAGGTGTCGTAAACTGCACCGCGCACCCCATATTTATTTAATTTGGCAAGCAGAATGTCATTTGAGACGCAATCAAATGCCTTGCTCAAGTCACATAATGTCAAGGCAACAGTGTTGGTATCCTCAAAGGCTTGTTGAATGCAACGTATGAGCTCAGAGACGGCAGTGACAGTTGATCTGTCTTTACGGAAACCGTGTTGAAGATTGGACATCAGGTTATTGCTGTTTCAAAGACCTTAGCGAAGGTTGGTATAATATATATGGGTCTATAGCTCTGTACACTTGCTGGATCTCCTTTTTTATATATGGGGACAGTTCTAGACACCCTTAGAATTCTAGGAATTCTATTTGCTATATTAACCTTGCTATATTATTCAGAATGTAAAAAACAAAGATTTAACATTCAGACTTATTTGACTTGAAACCTTCAACTTACCTGTTCAACCCACAGGTTCGTGGTCATTATTTGGTTCTTGAGATTCTGAAAAGGAAAAAAGATTTCTGGTTACTAGGGTTTCAACCACAATGTGTATTCTTATATTCAATATTGAACAACAACCGTTTTAATTATATAAACTTATACAAAATGCATTTATCTTGGGTATTTCAATCAGGTTTAATCTGATAACCTAATAATAGTTAAACAGTGTTTTTATCATGACTACGCCAGTACACATGTTTAAAAAGATGTAAAGATAATCCCAACCAAGTATAGTAGAGGCTACATATAGATACATACATAAATATTAATACTGGTTCTAAGTATAAGCCATGAATATAGTTAAGTTGTTCAATATACAAAACTGTATTCATTATATTAAATCAGATTACACTCTAACAATTTATGTAAATAGACTCATTTGACCTAACGTAAGTATTCGGGTGGTATTAACTATGTGTATATTACATTTCCATAAGTATTACGTCAAGCAAAGCTGTTCATTGTATCAAAATATATTCCTACAAAGCTAGTGTATGAAATAACAGATTGGCAAACTCGGTTCAGTCGGTGCAATGGATTCTTGATGCCTTTGATTTAGTGGTTCTCGATTACCTGAGACACTGGTAAAAGCCGTGAAGATAAAATATTATCCCTTCCCTTAGTGAGAACAGTTCTTTTTTAATGATTCCAAAACAATTTAATACCTCCATCACAAACCTGCAGACTAAACGAATTTCCATTTACCTAGCTGGATTTCTACTTAAATATTCCCTTAATATTGTCAAATTTATTTACTATTTAAAAAACATTAATTTAAATAAGTACTTAGGTATGCTGCTACAGGGAAGGTTGTAAAGTGTGTTCTTTATTTAAATGTTATAGCTTAGTATTAAATAGACCTATTTGACAAATTTGTTCAAAATTTTTCCCTAACTAAGCAAATGATAACGATTTATTTTTTCTCCTTAAGAATAAGATAGAAATTTTAATATTTGAAACTAAAACTTTTTCCCTAACCATTACCGGTACAACAACGCTTTAACATAAATATTGTATAAACCCTATTTTTTGGCGAGTAAAAATGGGAAAACCAATTTTCACCCCAAAAAACCCTTTTCCCACAGTTCGATCATACCGAGTCACGAATAAATGTGGATATGCATGTTACTTCAGAATTTCATCAAAATATAATGATTTTTGCTCAAGTTATCCTATTAACGGACATATTTGAATTTGAACGGATGGTGTTTATAGCCTGTGGGAATATCAAAACAAAAAATTTAATTGGTCCCGGGTCTATGTCTTAACTTTAGACCTGTGGTAATATCTTATTACCAAATGGGGAATTCGCTAAAAATATAATTTAGCTCTAAATAAAATTACTCCAAACAGAATATTTTACTTTTGGTTGTGTTATTGATCAATTTAATCGATTTATTCTCAATGGACTTGTAAATGTTTTTACGCCACACTACATTATTTTGACGAACTTCCCACGCAAGGATTTAGTCCAGAAAACAGCTGTTTGCCGCCAGCTTATTCAAATGGGGTTTCATTGCGTACTACTGTTCTGCAATGAGTTTTACCGGACACCAATCAGCTGATTATACTGTATTTAGGTAGCAATGAATGGTTATAAACAAAAACATAACCTCTAAATGACTATTGATTTTTAGTCCTTAAGTTGGTGGAAATATATAAGGATTGTAGGGATTTAATAGTATGGCGTAAACTATCGTACGTAACTCGTCCAAAATGTGTGTACCGGACTCGTATGGTAATCCCGTACTCGACTTCGTCTCGCACGGAAACAACCACACTCGTCCGGCAAACACTTATTTTTAGGACTAGTAACGTAATATACTATTGCAGTGAATGTTTCTTACAAGTGAGGAATATAATTATGTATGAACAGTTTGTGAATTAGCATTGCGCGTGGTGGTTCTAACATACAAATAAAACGAAATACGTATTCGATACATTTACACCAGTTATGTAAATTCTTAAGGAGCTCCATTATCCTGATGATAACTAAAGCGACTGATCAAAATGAATAATAACTTTTTATTCTTTGTTTGAAAATTAATTTTTGGCAATGGTGGGCTTATGTTGTTTAGGAAATTATTACAAAACACGGAATCCTTTGTGGTCAATTATCTAGAAAGAACACAATAAAATCGTCTGCACAGGCTGTGATTTTATTCTATTTAAGGGCTTTTGCGTTTATTTAAATATTTTACTTCTTTAGGGTTCCGCTTTTGATTTTATTTGTCATTTTCCAAACTTTGCTGGGTTAATGTACTAATCTTGTTATGTTTTAGGGACTTTCTTCTTATTACCTGAGGACGAGACCAGATTTCAGATCCCGAAACGTCGTACAAAATTAGCATTTTACTAATCGTAATCATAGATAAAACATACTCCCTAAGTAGATTTCTCACCCTTATGGAACAGCTGATGACAATTTTATTGTTAGTTCTGTACGGTTTATGTACAGGTCGTGTTTTGTATACAAATTGTTTCCCATTATTACAGTCATTTAAAACCTAGTTTAACCAAATAATACGATCTAATCATCAATAATAACTTGTTCCCTAGTTATATAACCAAACAGTAAAGTACAAATCAAGAAATTAACCCTAAAATTATGGAAACAAAATTTCGTCGACACTAGCGCCCAGTGTCACCGTACATGATCTAGACACGAAAAACGTGCTCCAAAATTTACAATGGGATGAGAAGTCTACTTGTGTTGGTTCGTCTATGTCGTAATGTAAAATGATCGCAATATTTTTTGTAAACAACACATTTTATATATTTTTACCATTTTGTTTAAATGTACCTTGTCGGTTTAAAACACTGAATAGTAATAGAAGACTACTTTGTAATTAACCTTAAAATACATAGAAATATATAATATTTTAGAGTTTACACAAAATTGATGTTATAAGTTACACTCTAAGCTGATAAAGGGTGTAAAAGATGTGATGTTATACATTTTATTTCTAGCACTATATGGTTCTGTTTGAATATTTTTACTATTTTTATAATTATAAAAACCGTTTATGTGCACAATAAACTGTAATAGGGTTCCATAAATAAACAAAATGAAATAAAAAAAATGCAAAATACACAAAACACAAATAGTATAATTACCTAAATACGAAATGAGGTTAATGAGTTTTTGTTGATTACCTTCAACCAATTACTTGCTCTGGATTAACAACTAATATACGTAATAAATCGTGATTATAGATAATTGAATAAAGACATGAATCTATGATATCTTGAAGGTTCATAAATTCAGGATTTAGATCAATAAATGAACGACAGTTTAGATCTTGAAACTTTTCATATGTGTTTCAACAAATTTTATTACAATTTGATCACACAAAAGCCTTCGGAACAAACCCTTATTTTAAATAGTACTAATAGTTTTTTTTCATGGTTTAGTAAATTAATAAAGCTGCTGTGCAAGAAACACCTTTCTAAAACCAGACAACTAGAAACGAAGAAACACTACATTATCAAGTCTTTGCCTGTTAATAGGTTATTCAAAATAGTTCATGTTGTTGTAGATTCAATTTTAATTTTTAAACATATTACTTGAACATCCCTATCCCTTGTAATTACAGTGTCTCTAGTCTCTTATGTTCTATTATGGTTTGGTATATTTGCGGTCATGCATGGATTCGTATAATTATCTTTCTTTATTAGTGGGTAAACATAATCTTACAATACTTATTAGCACGAGATGGATCAATGACGCCATTTAATGATCTTTCCCTAAGTTTTGGAGACACAAGGGTATAGCTTGTTCCCCATATACCCTATCAATGTATATGTGCAAGTGTTTCACTACGTTTACTTTAAATTAAACTTGGTTAGAGCTGGTCATTATTGATTGTCAGTATACTTAAGTATCTAAAGTTGATGATGTTTCTGACTGCTTTAACAATAAAATACTAACCACATCAATGAGCTGAGATAATTTGAGCTTGATGCAGACGCGCAAGACGTCTGTCGTGTTCACCACAGGCCTAACTAGCTTGTTGTAGTTGGAGAGAAGGTCATCATAGAGCCGCTTGGCGTCAGGATTGCCTGCAACTGCGCCATGTACGACCAGCGCAGACAACAGCCATGCGCGCAGTGTCTCCCCGGCACTGGGGCCCCCACAACCCATCCTGCAACACATGTCAAACTATATATAACTGCGCCATGTACGACCAGCGCAGACAACAGCCATGCGCGCAGTGTCTCCCCGGCACTGGGGCCCCCACAACCCATCCTGCAACACATCAAGTCATATATAACTGTGCCATGTAAGACTGGCGCAGACAACAGCCATGCGTGCAGTGTCTCGCCGGCACTGGGGCCCGACAACCCATCCTGCAACACATGTCAAACTATTTATAACTGTGCCATGTACGAACATCTGCCATTTTGCGCAGGATCAACCTTTTGAAGTGCGGTTTGCGGCATTCTATTCTACTAAAAAAGACCTTTAATTTGATGTGCATATTGACCTATGCTTCCATTTAATATTTTCCTCCAACTCCTTGTGGGCCGTCCCCCTGAAGAGTTATTGGATCACTGAATATGTGTTAAAATAGAGTTTTATGCCCTGTAACTTTGTACCAAGTATTATAGCTCTATCTGCATTATCCTGCATAAAATGACAGTTGTTCAAAGATTAATTTAATTTACATTGCTATTATACGCTTACTACTCAGGGGGCACAGCCCTAAGAATCGGAAGAAAATTGCATAAGCATAGGTCGATATGCACATCAAATTAAAGGTCTTTACTAGTAGATTATGATGCCGTAAATTCAAGCTCAAAAGAATGCCTGAGTAAAAAATGGCAGTCGTTCAAAGATTCAAAATAACGGATTCAAGAAATCTTTGAACATCTGCCATTTTGCGCAGGATCAACCTTTTGAGGTGCGGTTTGCGGCATTGTGTTCTACTAAAAAATACCTTTAATTTGATGTGCATATTGACCTATGCTTCCATTTAAGATTTTCTTCCGACTCCTTGTGGGCCGTCCCCCTGAAGAGTTATTGGATCACTGAATATGTGTTAAAATAGAGACTTTGTACCAAGTATTGTAGATCTATCTACATTATTTTTTAAAATATTTAACTGTCCTGGGACTTTTTTACCACCCTGTATAATTGTGCCGTGTACAACCAGGGCATACAACAGCCATGCGTGCAGTGTCTCCCCGGCAATGGGGTTCCACAACCCAACCTGCAACACAAGTCAAGCTATAACTCTGAAGTGTGTAGCGCAGACTATTGTCTCTCACGTACCGGTATTCTACAGTGTAGGTAATCCTTTGACTTACGGTTAGAACAGATAAACATAAAAGCAAAAAAATACTCACTGCTCCCATAACGTGCTACCAGATCGTTGAGCTCCCAACAACGCTAACAGATCCTGTGTGTCGTTTTACGACAAACGAGATGAACTAGGAAGCTGGAAAGTGGTTCCAATAAAGCTCTATGCTCTATAAGTGTTTCCCTTCAAATGGATATAAAAACAAACTAGCAGAAATAACATTCTATTCTAGCTATTCCAGCTAGAATAAAATACCCCCGTCGCAGCAAACCTGCATCCTAAGCGAATTTCCATTTTTACCCGGCTTGATTTCTACTAAAATATTCCCTATAAATTTTCAGATTTATTTCCTATTTAAATAACATTAATTTTAGTGAGTAGTTAGGTTTGCTGCTACGGGGAAGATGTTGAGATGTGTTTTTTCAATTGAAATATTGATAGCTTAGTATGAAATAAACCAAATTGCCAAATTTGATTAAAATATATCCATAAACAAGCAAACTAGAACAATTTATTTATTCTCCATAAGAATAACATGGGAATTTTAAATTTACAATTTTTTAAATTTTCTCCGTAGTCAATGAACATTCAAAAACACTTCAATATACTAAATTATTTGTTTTTTTAAGCTCTTCAAAATGATCTAGAGAGAAATTTAGAAATTTTAAGTTTTTATGGTCAAAAATGACAAAAACCCATTTTTACCCCATAAAACCCCCCATAAACCCCTGATCCCATGGTCCGATTATGCTGGTTCGCGAACTCGTTCGAATATATGTAGGTTTACATGTTTGTACCAAATTTCATCAAAATCGGATCAATTTTGCTCGAGTTATCGCGCTAACGGACACATATATATATGAATTTGAACGGATGGTGTTTTTGGCCTCTGGGGACCTCAAAACAAAAAAGTAAATCGGTCCCGGGTCTAGGTCTTACCATGAGACCTACGGTAATAGCTTATTCCCTATATGGGAAATTCGCTAAAAACGTTAAATTCTAACAATAAAAGTTAATGTTCTCATACCATATCCTAAGTTTATCATAAAAGTCGAGGTTAATCAGTCCCGAATTAAAAATAAGTAGAAGATAAGGGCATTAGCACTGATGCAAAGACATTTGAAAACCCAAGCTTATTTATTTACATATTGATCAGTATTCTGTTGATCAACAACTTGTTAAGTGGTCTACGGTAAAAATTCCTTTGCAGATGCTATTGTTGTCTTTCTTAATGTTACAAACAACCAGCCAACATACCACCATACCATACCACACCTAAAAGTCAACATGTGCGCTTTGTTGGGTGTTTGTTTTGGTATTCCCTTCAACCAGTTTGATTGGCAATTTGCAACGTCGCATATTTGTGTCGCTTTGTCAGTCGGAATCAAACGTTCTCGTTAGTACGGTCCAATACAACACGTATCAACATGCTTTAACCAAAGTAAATGCGACGCTGAATTGTAAAACATTCTGCAAGTTAAGTGAAATGACGTATAAAGGTTCTTATGTAGGTTCTAATTCTGAAAATCCTTTACGCGTTTCTATACCTGTGTGATTTCGCTGTTAATCAAACATTTACTTTGGTACCGTATGTTTAATTTAATCAAACTACTTCATACGTGGAAACAGTTTTATAGAGATATTCAGAGAAAAATTGAGTAAGTCGCACACTAAACTCCTGTGTTTTAGATTTTAAAAGTTTGATTATCACATTCAGCTATATAAAAAAACCTATCAAAATTAAATATTTTAAAGTCATTTCTATCCCAGATCAACCAAGCAAAATTTTTAGTTTATTTTAATCAATACATTTTCTTAAACTTGAGAGGATTCCAAATTTGTATTTATCTTGTTGACGTTCCATGATTATATAAATGACAACTGTTATCAATAAGGAGTTTTGGAATAGTACAACAAATACTCGTTTGCATTAATTTCTTCTCGACATTATTTGCAACTTGCTAAAACTGTGTAGCTCAATCGCTCAATAGTTACTAGAAGGGTGTATTATGCATATATTACTTATATTACGTATATATTACCTACAATAATAACATCCTTATACACTTTACCGAAAATATAGCCTACTTATGAAACCCGTAAGGACTCAAGTTAATAGTTCCCATGTTATATCTATAGACACTCATCAATCCATGTAGTGCATCCATGTAGCACAATCCATGTGCTGGCATGTGTTTATTCACTTGTAAGTAATTCCTAATTTTAACCGGCACCAAGAACGTATTCTCTATAAATCGATATAGTCATTAGGCCTATAATAGCATATCACTTAATCTATAATAATCTAGGTCGTCTCTGAATTTGAGTGGATCGTCGCAAAAGTCTCTTTGATTTGAGTTTTATTCCCGCCAACTGCCCCAGGAAACAAAAAGAAATTGTGAAAGCCACCTGTTTGTATTAAAGCTGTTTGAAACTTTTTAATTGAGAAAGAGTTCAATAGCCTTGGGGCATTTCTTCCTAGGCAAGACTGAATCATTTTCATGTTGATGATTATGTTTAAAGTAGTTGAAGTTATTCAGCATCGTTTGCCTATTACCTATTATGTGTTATTAAGCTGGCCATTGATTTTTCGTATTTCCTATACGGTACAACAAATATTTCATCAGTAACTTTAAACAAACTTAACAAGGCATTTGCATCAGAAGATTGCAATTAAATCTAATATTGTATATCATTTTCCACAAATTTAAATTTGGTATTAGCGAATTTCCCATATAGGTAATAAGCTATTACCGTAGTACTCATGGTAGTACCCTTGTTTATTCGAACGAGTTCGCGAACCAACATGATCGGACTATAGAAAAAGGGGTTTATGCGGTAAACATTTATTTTCCCATTTCCCCCCTAAAAACATAAAATTTAGCAACTTCTTTCACACCATTTTGTAGAGCTTAAAAAACAAATAATTTAGTATATTGAAGCGTTATTAGGCCTATGTGCCTAATGGCTAGGGTAAAAATTCCAAAAAAGTTTTAGTTTAAAATTTTTATGTTATTCTTATAGAGAAAATTGTAAAATGTTGTAGTTTGCTTGATTATGAGCACATTTTGATCAAATTTCGAAAATGCATTCATTTCATACTAAACTATTATCATTTTACAAAAACGCCTTTTTACCCTCCCCATTACAGCAAACCTAAGTAATCGTTAAACTAATACTATTTAAATACTAATTTAGTGTATGTGCTTTATGTTTTTGTTTATTTTGCATAATTGAGTCGCTGGAATGGATAAAGATGCGACCTACAAATAGAATTTCTGCAGAATCAGGCAATACTGAGAGGTTTGTGGGTTTGAGTGCATAAAGTCTAAAGTGGGAGGCTGCAAAGTCAATCTACCTTACACATTAATCTATTTTTCAAAGCACAATAATACTCAAAAAAATGTTCAATCCGTCTTATCCACGGGAATTTATAATAACGAGGGGGATCCGTGAGCGAATCGCGTATTTTAATTGTTTTTAAAACTAATTTCTAATACCCCTTTTTTAAGATTATGTGGTTTACTTAAGGCAGTCATAAGCTGAATAAAACTACTAGATTACAATACATTAAATTTGTTGATTCTAGATCTACACCATAAAGAGTAGTCTACCTTCTTAAATTAGGCTGCAATCACAAAAATAGTGATCAATTTAAAATAAATGTTCATACACATTTTTGTATCAATTTATATTCAGACTGTGGTCAAATATTCAACTGAGCGATCAGCTGTTAAATTGTAATTCACATTTACACTTTTATAATTAGTGTTGTTTAGTTACAAAAAAAAAAACGTTAAGCATTTCCACAGTTGTTAACCTAGTCAAAAAAAGTAAAATATATTTAACATTCTTTTTCAGTATTTGTATTATTAGAACAGAATGCTTTCTTATAAAATGTTGAAATTTTACGACACACAAAAAAGTGTAATAAGAAATGCGAATGTCTTAGAAGGTCATGTATAAAACACAAAAGTGTTGAAGGCAGTTAGGCAGATACGTGAGGACCTCCTTCCTGTGCTTCCATGAGGGCGAATTATTAAGGATTTACAAAGTACATACGGTTATCCTCAACCTCCTTCATTTTAAATGTTTACTATGATGAGAGCTGTTTATTTGATACAAACCCCTTCTATTAACTATTAATCTTAGTTTGTGCTACTATAAGAATACAGTAGAGCCTCGATAACAAGACTCTCATGCTCATTATTAAATAAGACTTGTTATCAAGGTTGACTTCCTGTCGAGTTTTGCAATAACATGTGATTCGGGGTCAAAATAACTAAAGGGGATTTAAAAATTAATTTTTTAATAAAAGGTGACTTGTTATGGAGGGTCTACTATGTAATAACATACGCCTTCCAATATAATTTAATTGAAAAATAAATGTAATTTAATTAGTTGAGACTTGGCCAATGCAAAATGGTTGTTGATCTGGCTGATTAAAGACTTTGACTTTAACACTTCTCTAAACAAATATTTTATTGGTATCGTTCTGAACTTTAAAATTATAAAGCAAGTTTTTGTTATTGTTTGATGGTCAAACTACATACACAAATCTTGTCTCAAGCTATTTATGATGTAAATTCAAGTAAATGAATTACGCTGTGCCATAGATTAACAACACAAGTATATTTCTCATCCCATTGTAAAATCTCAAGCTTGTTTTTCATGTAAAGTTAGATCATGTTGCTGGCAATGTGCTCTACTGTTAACAAAATTTTGTTTTTACTATTTTAGGGCTATGAATTGTGCTTTATGATTTGTGCTTTACTGATTAGTTATATAACTAATCAATAATAAAAAAATATAAACAATAACTTGTTTATTTTTTGTTCTTGCATCGTTTCTGCCTGGATTCGTGCATTTTAACTTGGTAGGAAAGTGTTTTATATTTACACCCCTTGCAA